TAATAATAATAATAATAATAATTTTCCATACATAAATATAACAAAATAAAAGATTGACAATAATAAAGGAAAAAGAAAGAAATAGAAAAAAAGAAAAAAGAATATAGAACATAAAATAGAACAAATCATCACTACAGTAACAATTAATTAATTAAAATCCATCTTCATAAACGTATTATTTGACTTCCTCAAATCTCTTCCATCTGAATTTCTTAGTAATTATATGTAGCAGTTTCCAATATCATTATTTCATAAAACTATATCATAGTCATAATCATATTTCCTGACTTTTCTTAGCGTACATTTTCTTATTTATTTATTTAACCCCAATTTAGTCCTGGGCCTAATTGATTATTTCAAGTGATTACATATCTTTAATATTACAATATTTATTCAAATAGTCTTTAAATTTCTTCCAGTCTTCTTGGTGTTCCATTTCTTTCTGGTCACGGATTCTCCCAATGAGATCAGCCAGTTCCATAAACTCCATCATAGTTATCTTGTCCAAGAATATCGTAGGGGACTTTGTTGAAAGCCTTACAGAAATCAAGATATGTTACATCCACAGCATCTCCCTGATCCACCAAGCTTGTGTCTACATAAAAAAAAAAAAAATGCAGAAGAGAAACCTATGCTGGCTCCTTTTCTAAGTGCTCACAGAACAACTGTTTACTTATATGCTCTAGGACAGACTTCCTCAACCTCGGCCCTCCAGATGTTTTTGGCCTACAACTCCCATGATCCCTAGCTAGCAGGACCAGTGGTCAGGGATGATGGGAACTGCCGTCTTAAAACATCTGTAGGGCCAAGGTTGAGGAAGCCTGTTCTAGGAGCTTTCCTGGGTATTGTCATCAAGCTGATCAGCCAGTAGTTTCCTGGGTCTTTTCCTCTGCTGCCATTTTAAGATGGGGCACACCTGCTCTCCAAGAATTCTCAAATACATTTTTCCTATATTTTTAACCCACTGGAATACAAAGTGGAAGAAAATGCATTAAACATTAGTAGCAGTAGCAGCAATGATAGTTTGCAAGTTACCTACATGTAAGTTACCTACATGCCTATTATTATTCCAAAAACTGTTCCTCCCCCTTTTCAACATTCTTTTATTCATTTTTTTTGGAGGGAAAACCTTCTTTCTTCCCAAACTTTCAGCATGCCAAGATCATGTTGTTGACGTGCCAGTGGTAACCCTTACCTCTCATCCAGCTCCCCTGAGTCCATCATGGATGCATGGCTCAAAAATATCTCAGGAAATGAACCTGTCTCCCAAGTAATTGAATCATGCCAGAGCATTGTACTTCCAGCCATCCCTTCTCAATTCATTCTGAGAGCAAAAGGTTCAATCTGCCTTCATTAGTTGCACTGCCCTTGAAACAAGGTGGCAGTGGGAAATAGTGGGTGCTGAACAAGGGCTCTTAGCAATCTGATTAAATCTCCCCAGTGCAAATAGCCTTATCAGACTGTAATCTGTGTGTCTGGGAACGTGATATTTTTGAATTCTTTCCCCAATGCCACTTTACGTGCTGAACGGGTCCTCTGTTGCTTTATGTGGTTTCAAAACAAGAGTTTAGGGGGTGGAAGGAACTAAAGAGTCAAGCTGCTGCACTGTACACAACATCAAATGAGATGGCAAAACAAAGAGAGATCCCTCTTATTCCTTCCTATCAATTATGTCTAGATTCTGAGAAAGATTAGCACACTTTGCATCATAATTCTAGGCCATTATGCTACTGTAATTCTTTCCCTTTGCATCTCTCCCCAAACTTCTGGAGCTCCAAATTACCCATTCTTGCTTACAAAGTAGAACTGCAATTGCTCCATGTACCGTCTGTCAAGGAGGGAGTTGCTTTCCAGAGTCCTCCCTCCAAGATGCTAATCAATCACACGCAGGCACCGAACGGGTTATCAGGCTTGATGGGCTTCTTCTCTAGCACCAGCTACAGAACATCAAGCAGTAAGTCTAACACATGGCATACTCTCTCTCTCTCCCCCTCCCTCCCGCCAGGTTAACCTGAAGATTTATGTGGGTGCGAAAATGCCGGCAACCAACCAGTCCCAGCACATGCTCCCATTTTGGGGACTAATTGTTACCACCTGCTTGAGAGCCCCCACCCAGTGGTACTTGCTCACAGGATCACTACTTCACGACACTGTCCCTGCTCCTTTCTAAGTATATACAAGGCCCCTACAGACTTTTTTAGGGGCACCAGCTTTAGGGTGATTTTGTTTTGTTTTAGGAACATAGAAAGCTGCCTTAGGCTCAAGTGAGACCATTCGTCCATCCAGCTCAGTATTGTCTCACTGACAGGCAGTAGCTTTCCAGGTTTTCAGGCTGGTATTTTATTGGGGATGTATTCGTTAACACGGCAATAATGCTGCCTTAGCTTTTAATTTATTCTGCTTTAGTTTGTTCTGCAATGCTATCCCAAAGTGACCGTGTTATTGCCATTTGCAGGGGCTACAGCACAACAAAAGTGGACAAAAATAAGGCAGAGTATTTGAGATATGAGAAGTTACAGGACTTCAGCAGGAAGTTATGAGATATACACTGGTTGGAAATGAAGCAGTGCAACAGCCCCAAAATATTAGCAGGTGCAAACAGTAATAGAAGGCAGGATCACATGTGATCTTCCCCAAAGCATTATGAGCAGAAATCATATTGAATCTGAAATTAAAAAGGATATCTGGAGGGGCCCACAGAGAGCATTATTCATGTACACTTTAATGCAGCTTTTAATTCCTTCAGTACAGTCATGTTGTTGGCACCCATCTGTCTTGGGATAAAATGGAGTGCGCCTCTGGGTATGAAGTCAAACATCTGCATTAGCAGCACCTAAGTGACTTCTCCAGGTCACAAGCCTGGGCAAGGTGTATGGAGGTCCTGGGCTGCCCAGACAACAAGACCCCACTTGGCTTTGCTGACATGGTCAACAGAAAAGCAGAGCAATATGTCTGGCACCAGGCTGGCTGCAGGAATTGCTGGAAGAAGGCATACAAGGCACCATCCGACCAACTTAGTGTAGGGATGTGTATAGATGATAGGAGAGGATATATTTATCCTCTCAGACTGGATTCTCCTGGTATTTCCCCCTATCCTCCCCCTTAAAACGATAATCACGCAAACGGTCTTTTAAAAGGTAAAAATAACATTTACTCTCTCAGAATACTTGTTGAAGAGTAACAGATACAGCAGCTTTGTTCAGGCAGGCTTAAAATTGTATTCCAGTTACATGCTTTTTAAAATGGTGTCTGAGCAATGGAAGTTCAGACATGCAGATGTTCTGCATCACTGGAATGAGGTGACAGAGCAAAGAGGAAGTGCCAAGCCAGGTGAGGAGAATATATGTGGCTGCACCCTGCCCCTGTCAGGGCACAGTGGGAGTAACTCTCAGAGTTCTCTCTAGCAAACTTACAGTAAAACTCTGAGCTTCAGCTCCTATCATGTGCCTATCTAGCAAACATGCATTGTTAGTTTGACTGCTTTGTAAATATCCAGAGTCCACTCTGGATTTGTGTAGGATTTACTCCTTTGTCTTTGATTCTTCCCAAAAATATCTTGAAAGGCAATGGAAGTTTAGGATCAGAGTTTTCCTTCTCTGACATGGGATACCTTCCTAGATTGACAAGCCCCATCAGCTGTCACTTTCCCTCTTCAGCACATGCAGAAATTGCCTTCTTGGTATTATTCGTCTTGTCCCCTCAATCTGCCTGTCTTCACAGGCAGGGAAAGTCATTAACTCACAGAAGATTTGAGACCCTCCTCACCTAGTTTAGCCAGCTAGTCTAAGCTGTTCCTGGGGTGTGGCTGCTGTGTCTAGGAGCCACTGATGAGAGCTTAGTGCAGGGCAGGAACCAAAGGTGGACAAACCAGCCCAGAAGGACCTTGTTCCTATTACTACTGGTGTGCCATGCACACTAATAAAACAGCAGCAGCATCTTATTGTGACTGTACACAAGGTTAGTCCTACCATTAGACAGCATGAAAGGCTGCAGTCAGTGCTTTTTTTTCTTTTAAAAAATGTTTAGAGGCACTCTCATTTTCCTACTCATATTGAAAAACTGCCCCTCAGTGAGGCCAAACTTCGATTCACAAAATGTTTAGGGGTATGTGTAACCCTGCATTCCTCCCCCCCCCCCCAAGAAAAAAAGCACTGGCTGCAGTGATAAGTTGAGGGCTGTCATTCAGTGGCAGAGCCTCTGCTTTGCATACAGAAGGTCCTAGTTTCAATCCCAGATATCTTCAGGTAGGATTGAGAATGATTCTCTGCCTGAAATCCTGGAGAGCTGCTGTGAGTCAGTGTAGACAATGCTGAGCTGGTGGAACAAATTTCAATTAAGGAACTTGTTCAGATTTTAGTTGCCCAAGCATGATACCTAGATCCTGCTGCCAAAGACCCTGGTTTGAATTCTCTGTTGTTTTTCAATTTGACTTTCAGATCATTTGCATGTCTACCCTGTGCTCCACCAATATATTTGTGATGTGTAGATGCACTCTTGTGCAATGGTAAGACTCCATTCAAACAGGATATTGATGTGCCTTTGGCCATGATAATGGTGGCTAATGGTGCTCACCAGCATAGCCTCTACTTAGTCCCCTCCTTATGCATCCAACAAATGCTACTCTAATACTAATCCAACATTAGTCCTGCTCAGAGCAGACTTATTGAAATTGACACAACTAATTTAAGTGAGTATCTCTGTGTGAAATTTAGTTGAATATTCCAATCAGCACAAATTGGGCTGTCCCTCCACACACACACACCAAACAGTTCCTCTGCGTCTTGATTTGCAGAAATTACCAGCAGCTACTTGGCCCAAATAGACAGCTGGTTCAACCTGTACTGCAGGATTCAGGGTGATGAACTCTAGCTCAGTGGTAAGAAATCTGCTTTGCATGCAGAAGGTACAGAGCTGATGGACCAATGAACTGACTCAGTATAAGAAAACTTCCTATGTGCCTGTGGCAAGTAAGAGGACAGCTAACCTAACAGATCTCTTGTGGAAGAGCCTTAGCACAGTGGTAGAACATCTGCCTTACATGCAGTAGGTCCCAGTTTCGATCCCTGGCATTTCCTGGTAGGGCTGCAAAAGGATCTTACCTGAAACCTTGGAGAGCTGCAACCAGTCAGTGTAGGCAGTATTGAGCTAGGTGGACCAAAAGCAGCTTCCTGTGTCCCTTCATGATAGACCATGGAGGAGAAGCAAGGCCAGTTTACCTGCCCATTCTCTTCTGTACTCCAGCCTTATTCTCCTTCTTGCAACTTGACAATGGATTCAACCCCACCCACATCCGATTGCCTGGTGGAGCAGCATTGCTAATACATCAGTCAAATTTCCACTTTAGAAATGGGATCAGGCAGTGCTTTTTTTCTTTAAAAAATGTTTAGGGGTACTCTCATTCTCCTACTTATACTGCCCCTCAATGAGGCCAAATTTAGATTCACAAAATGTTTAGGGGTATGTGTACCCCTGCGTACCCCCAGAAAAAAAGCACTGGGATCAGGTTATCTGCACCCCCAAAATCTTTGGCAAGTATGCACGAATAGTAGGGGATGCTTTCTCTCTTTCTCTCTGGATGCTACAATGGATGAACTCTGTGGATGCTACTCAACAAAATAATGAGGGAGGGAGCTGAAGCAAAACACACGGAGAAAAGCTTCTTCACTTTCCAATAGTAACTAATCAGAGATTGTCTCTGCCTGCCTGCCTCCTCCTGGTGATTATGAAGATTTGATGGCTGTTGTTAAGGAGTCTCATCACATCTCAGAAGAATAAATCTGCCCTCCAGAGAATCTCTTTCTCCTTATGGCCAGGATCACCACATCTTTCAAGCCAGGGGATTTAGCTCCTTTTGACAGCAGCATCGCTCTGAGCTGCAAGTGCTGTCTTGCCACCATCCACCAAAGGATGGAGAGGTCACCCTCTGAACTTACAAAAAGACACAAAATCTATCTCTTGAAAGCAATCAATACCTTCTATAGCAGGAGTGGCGAACTTCAGGACAGGGAATTAAATGTGGCCTTCCAGGCTGCTCCATATGGGCCTCATGACTCTGTCCTGGCCACACTCCTTTCTTTGTCTAGGTCACTGTATGCTGGTCGGGCCCTGCACCCTTCTTGAATGATTTTGTCTGGCTGAAATGTGTCCTAGAACTCTCATAATGCTTCTCTCATGCTTGGATGGAGGTGTGTGTGTGTGTCTGTATGTGCACACGTGTGTGATTTTTGCATGGCTGGAATGTAGCCAACTATAAAAAGGTAAGAGTCAGATGCACTGTCTCACCTGTTTTAGCCTCTGGCCCTACCCACCAGTGGTGTGTGGCCCACAGGAAGTTTGTCCACCAGGGAATTCTTAAGCCAAAAGAGGTTCCCCACCCCTGACCTACATAGTCACAGCTCTGATGCTTTTTTCTGTAAGAGTTCAAACTTTTAGAATAGATACATTGGTACCTCGGGTTACAGACACTTCAAGTTACAGACGCTTCAGGTTACAGACTCCGCTAACCCAGAAATAGTACCTCGGATTGAGAACTTTGCTTCTGGATGAGAACAGAAATTGTGCAGCGGCTGCTGGAGGCCCCATTAGCTAAAGTGGTGTCTCAGGTTAAGAACAGTGTCAGGTTCAGAACGGACCTCCGGAACAAATTAAGTTCTTAACCCGAGGTACCACTGTACTTTCTTCCCAATTCATTTTTGCTTAAGGGGCTGCCTCCTTTTCAGAGTGAAGGTGAACAGGTGAGCACTCCGAAATATATCCTGCTCAGACTGTATGTTGCCTGAACTGATTAGACTTAAAAACTCCCACCAGGGCTGAAACTACTGGCACTCAACAGGATATAATCTCAGCCAGCATAAAATGGTGACATTTGGTTAATATTGCATAGCCTTGGATGTAGCTATGCCAGGTGGAAATCTTGCTAAGACTTTTCAAAGGGCCAAGGAGTTTCCACCTGAATAACAAGAAACTTCCCCCATCCCCAACTCAGAAATCCTCTCAGCAAGACAGACTTACGAAGCCAACCACTGAACTCCAAAAGAAACTTGAAATGTTCCTGCTGGGTGAGCTTCAACAGTCTTGGCTCATTTAGCAATCATTCTCAACCTTCCTGTCTTTCTGTCACTTGTGCCTTCAGAGGCTTGAAACTTGACTATTGTGATGCTCTCTACATGGGGCCAGCCTTGAAAATAGTTCAGAGGCTAAAACTAAGTGCAGAATGTAATGGCAAGTGAGTGAGACCCTGGAAGCTTGGTGAAGCATTGCCTCGGTGGTGCAGAATGCTGGTGTGCCCCTATCTGGACAGGGATAGCCTAGCTTCTGTTGTCTATGCTCTGGTAACCACTAGGTTAGAACCCTGCAATTCATTATACATGTCGCTACCTCTGAAGGAAGTTTGGAAACTTCAGCTAGTGCAGAATTCGGCTGCCAGGTTTGAACATGTAACACCGGTCCTGGTCCAACTGCACTGGCTGCCAATTAGTTTCTGGACCCAATTCAAAGTTCTGGTTTTGACCGATAAAGCCTTAAATTGCTCAGGACCACAATACCACAAGGGTTATCTCTCCCCATATGAACTGACTCAGACCCTGTGATCATCATGTGAGGCCCTTTTCTGTGTGCCTCCTCCCCGAGAAGTTCTGAGGGTGGCAACACAAGAATGGGCCTTTTCTGTGGTTGCTGCTTATTTGTGGAATGCTCTCCCAAGAGAGGCTCACCTATTGCTACCTTTATTATACACCTTTAGGCACCAGGTGAAAACATTTGTCTTCAACTAGGCCTTTGGCTAACAAACATCCTAAATCCTTTTAAATGTGTTTGTGGGAGGGATGGGGGATTATTGTTTTGTTCCTGTTCTTGTTTTTATGATTTATTTTCTGTTATTTTTATGCTGTGACCCACAAAAAGCTCCACAAAGAACCTCCCATATTGCAGGGCCATAGTCAGGACCTTCAAAAGGCACCTTCCCCTGAAGAACCCAATGCCTCACCATGTACATCTCCTGTCTAATAACACAGGTTGCTGATTCAGAGCTGCCAGTGGCCCTGAAACCTCTGAGCTGCATTTTCTGTGGGCTCTGGCATCAGACTAGACCATGACAGATGCTTAAGTGGTAGGTTCTCACTTAGCACGTCCAGCATTCCTGAAGAGTTGCTACTACTTGGAAGAAAACAGTTTGTCTCCTCATCCTGATGAGATCCTAATGTTGTTGGACTCCAACTCCCATCAACTTAAGTCAGCATAGTAAAGGATGATGGGAACTGTAGTCTAGCAACACCCAGAGGGCATGAAGCTGAGAAAAGCTGATGTAGAGAACACTGGGATAGAGGGACTAATTGCCTGATCTGGAATCAATGGTTCCTCTTCATCCTGGAGAAGAGTGACTAGTGGAGTGCCACAGGGTTCTGTCTTGGGCCCGGTCTTATTCAACATCTTTATCAACGACTTGGATGATGGACTCAAGGGCATCCTGATCAAATTTGCAGATGACACCAAACTGGGAGGGGTGGCTAACACCCCAGAGGACAGGATCACACTTCAAAATGACCTTGACAGATTAGAGAACTGGGCCAAAACAAACAAGATGAATTTTAACAGGGAGAAATGTAAAGTATTGCACTTGGGCAAAAAAATGAGAGGCACAAATACAAGATGGGGACACCTGGCTTGAGAGCAGTACATGTGAAAAAGATCTAGGACTCTTTGTTGACCACAAACTTGACATGAGCCAACAGTGTGACGCGGCAGCTAAAAGCCAATGCAATTCTGGGCCGCATCAATAGGAGTATAGCATCTAGATCAAGGGAAGTAATAGTGCCACTGTATTCTGCTCTGGTCAGACCTCACCTGGAGTACTGTGTCCAGTTCTGGGCACCACAGTTCAAGAAGGACACTGACAAACTGGAGCGTGTCCAGAGGAGGGCAACCAAAATGGTCAAAGGCCTGGAAACGATGCCTTATGAGGAACGGCTAAGGGAGCTGGGCATGTTTAGCCTGGAGAAGAGGAGGTTAAGGGGTGATATGATAGCCATGTTCAAATATATAAAAGGATGTCACATAGAGGAGGGAGAAAGGTTGTTTTCTGCTGCTCCAGAGAAGCGGACACGGAGCAATGGATCCAAACTACAAGAAAGAAGATTCCACCTAAACATTAGGAAGAACTTCCTGACAGTAAGAGCTGTTCGACAGTGGAATTTGCTGCCAAGGAGTGTGGTGGAGTCTCCTTCTTTGGAGGTCTTTGAGCAGAGGCTTGACAACCATATGTCAGGAGTGCTCTGATGGTGTTTCCTGCTTGGCAGGGGGTTGGACTCGATGGCTCTTGTGGTCTCTTCCAACTCTATGATTCTATGATTCTATTCTATGATTCTATGAATAAGGAATATTCCAAAGTTCAGAAATGTTTGTCGAAGACACTCCCACTAAAACAGCTGTGGGGAGCCTTAGGCCTGCCAGTTTTTGCTTAACTACATGATCATTGGCCATGCTTGCTGGGGCTTGCGGTTGGGAGTTGTGGTTCAGCAACATCTGGAGAGCCAAAAGTTCCCCACACCTGCAGTAGACTGCTCTAAACAGAGCTCTGTGAGTCAGTCATATTTGTAGAGGAGAGAACAAATGGGCAGATTCTTTTAACCAACATGGAATTCTCTGGGCTAGAGAAGATGACCCAAAGCATCTGAGGCAGATGGACTATCATCTCTTAATCTTCGTAAGTCTTGAGGTGAAAAGCCACATATAGGCAGAAAAGTGCCTCTTTCATAAGAAAATGACATGCACAGTATTTCAAAGGGTCATCTTTTATGCTTCAATCAGTCAGCCCAAAATACTTTCCAAATAAAGCATTTCTTTGCTAGGAATTCTGGAAAGAGAGGAATCTCGGGTATCAAAGCAGCTATTATGCAGGCCAGTTTGACAGCAGATGAATGTGAGAATGGTTCCAATGGGTCCATTACGTTGCAAATATTAGGTAACAAAATCCCCACTAGGCCAAGTGAGGCAGTGGCTATTATCCATTCTGTGCACATAATAGGTTCCATGATGCTGATATAAATATTAAAAAGATAATGTGTACAAAACTACATCA